AATCAAAGAAACTTGAAGGTGTGGCTAGAATAAGCAATCGCACTATGATGTAATTATGCAGATCAAATAAATGTTATTTCTATTTCGCAATATTAAGTACACACTAAAATACAAACTAAGGTTAACAGATGTTTTTTTTTCCCATAAATGTGATTAAGATGCATTTCTTAGATCATAATATTTTAATTAATATGTTGTTTTTATACCTTTTATTTTCGGATGAAATGCTTAACATAATTCCTTGTTTGATACTGTAAATGCATTTGTAATTTATAATAATAATACTTTATTTTTTAATACAATAAAAGTGGATTTAAACTATTTTTTTGCACATTTAAATTTACTCGATTTCCGAAAAATAATAGAAAATAATATATAATATCTCTCCTATGGCGTTATGTCACTCTAGCTCATTCTTATATATATAAATATATATTGCTAATAACAAAATGGCATTCTTTAAACAAATTATGCGGTCTAATGCCTTTAGATTGAGTGAAAACAGCTTCTAAAAATGGTTCAAAGTACAATGCGAAGCAAAAAAAAAAAAAAAAAAAAACGTTTCCGCATTTCTTTCTACAAGTTTCGTTATCTTTTACTGCTTTTGAAGCGATAGGAGTGATCAATGTTACTTTTGCTTCATATTAGCAGGCATATGTGACTTTATATTGTGGTTGTCATAAAACGACACATATGTCATGTTATTTTTGAAGAAATGTTGATTTTATAAAAATAAATACTACTCCGTTTCATAGACATACGATGTTAATTTTCATTGAAGTGTTAACAGTTGCAATGTCGTCATGAAAATTTAGAGTTTATTCTTTCCCTGTCGGTTATTCTTAACTTTTTTATGGTTTTTTATATACATACATGTAATTTTCTGGGATTAATTCATATATATTTATCACATAACGAAGATCAGCTCAATAATGGGAATGCTTTAAAAAATAATAAACTGAAAAATATAATAATTCTAGTCTTCCTCATTATGTAAAATTTACAAGTGTGCTCCCCCAGCAGTACAAAATTTTAATAATACCTCTTAAAATCAATAGTGTCTCCATTTTTTAAAGTTTTTTTTTTTTTATATAGCGCAGATGACTATGCGCAAGAGAAAGATATGTGATATCTTCTATTTAATTGTTTCTGGTTTATGAATAATGTGTTCGTAAACAAAGTTATACATATATATGTTGACAAAGAATGTGCACATTTTAATTTTAAAAAGTTTATAAATATGTTAATCAATTTAAAAAAAGTTCACTAATTAATTTGTTGCCTTTCTATGAATTGTTCCTATCATTTACATCCATGTGTTGATCTGACTTATGCTCTAGTGAGGGGTATCTCTCTATGAATGTCCTCTTGGCACTCTGTCTAGGGATTCGTTATTTAAGCCAAATTACCACACAGACATAATAACATATCTATATACATAGACTGAAACGAAATATTTTAAAGGGGAAAATAATTTCAAGTATTTTTTAAATAAGGGTATTTATAATTTTCCCACTAGTACACTCCTGGTAATTAATATATATTTAAAATAGATGTAAGAGTCCCTGGATCTCGTGGTCCTTCTAGTAGCCGTAGGTAGTTTGGTGTAGTGCGTGTAGTGCGTAAATCAATCCCCTAGTTGCAGCTTCAATTTAGTTGATCCAGTAAGAGAAACCAGGCTAAAGACAAAATGATACAGAATGGATAAGTATCTAAGCTAACAAGTCCCCTTCCAAAAGCAACAAATTCACATCGATGTATGGGTGGTGACATAGCTTGTACATATACATACAATTGTGGATAGATTACAAGTCTTGACATTTTCGGCGTAAGATTATGTGGCTTCGCGACAATGTTAGTCCAAGCAAACATTTTAATTAATGAAATATTGGACATTGATTCAGTAACAACCATTAAATGTATACGTACATAATATTCATACTGTCATCTTCTCAAAAGGGATATGTGCGAGTTTGAACAAAAACCTACCATCTCTATGATGGGATGGCAGCGTGTCGTAGTCCGCGTCAAAAGAAATAATAATAGAATGCATAATATCATTAATAAATATAGGCATTATTAGAAAAAGAACAAACACGATCGAATAGTTGCTACATAGTTATATGAAAAATACAAGTGCAGTAAAAGCATATCAAAATCATGGTTGTGTACTTACTAGTACTCTAGGTAGCTGTCGCAATTAATGATCACTCTAATGAAGTCCTAAGTCTAGTTACTTGTGGGTTTGACCTTTTACCCTCAAAGTTTTTTGGTGTGAAGTGGAAAATGCATAAGCACGCTTTAGCATGAGCTGTTATTCGTAAGGATACAATAACAACAAGTGACTTAACCCAGGTTTACTCCTGCAAGGGCAAGACTGAGGGGGGAAAGGTTTTATTTTATCGAAACTTATCTGTGAGAGGTGTTGAAAACAAAATCCACTCTTTTGGGGTAAGCAGTCTGGCGTAGGAAGGCGATAACACCATGGGAAATCACTAGGGTTATACTGTAGGGCTAACTAAGGGAAGGAAGGGTATTATTTTACCATGGTTTCCAAAGGGCGTATTTACGATGGAAGAAATTTTACAAAGTCTAGCCTCAAATCATCACACTTCTTTCAGTGCTCACTGAGGTTACTACCATATACTGATTCCTCTCTTTCTATATACGATGTCTAATACTTAATGCAATGTCTGTTGGAGGGCAGACTCTGATGAAAGTAATGTCCCTGTATATGTCCCTATGTATAATAAAAAAAAGTATGTCTTTATATAAATGCAAGTTTGGAACCGCTGAATTATTTCAATGGTCTGTGTAGGTATATGTTAACTATCACCCCTCGTGCATCATACTTTATAGCCCTTCACACGCTTAATACCAGGTATCGAATATATGTATATATATATAAGTGTGAGAGAGCGAGAGAGAGAGAGAGAGAGAGAGAGAGTGACAGAGCTGATTTACTGGACAATATGTCATGATTGAGCTAAGGGAAAATAAGTAGAAACTCTATCGCGGATACCACAGCTTGGTGACGCAAAAAAAAAACAAAACAAAAAAAACTACCCATTTCTATCAATTAGCTTTTCCTTCAAACGAGATTCAAATTGCAACGATCTAAGTCTAAGCATAGTGGCATACGTGGTAGGTTGAACAGAGAGAGACACGTTTTGATTACTTAAGCGTGTGTTACAAATGTAGCTGACACAACATCCGGGGTCAGAAAAAGAGACTGGTTAAAACCATCATTACCTGAAAGAGTATTTGAATTTTTTCTACCTTTTATGTTTCTGGTATGCTTAAAGTATCCTTTTTCAGGAGATATTAATTGCATCCAAATTATGTTTCTTGAAATATAGACAAAAATACAATGGTTAATAACACACAAACTTATAAATAATAAGACATAATATTTATATATACTAACATTTATCTACTGCAAAAAGTATCGCTTGTGTTAGCCCGTTAAAAATCACAACGTAAACTAAAGATTTAAAACTGCTTTTTTTGCACAATTACTAGAATTTTCATCCTTCTCGGGAAAGTTATTAAAAAAGATTGCGACAACTGATATTTTAATTGGTTTTCTTTTCAGTTTATATTGTTAATTTATATATTTATATATATATATATATATATATATATACATATACATATATACATATATACATATATACATTTATATATAAACACATTGGTAATACTTAATGATACAAAAATGTATGTATGGAAACTGATGTAACCCAACTTGCAATACCCTTTACAATTCTTTTAACGCCCATTCCGTACTCTTTAAATAGAAAAGCAATAAGCGTGTTAAGGCCTAAGAAATTCTATTCACTCCATAAACCAGAAAATCCGTTCTGACAAGGTCAGAGCTTATGGTGTGTGTAGCTAGACATAGATTTAGCTATAAATATATTCGTATAGTAAATGGGTAAGTAAAATTTAAAGGGAACTGTAGTAATTATTTTATAAATGTGTTAATATAATTGTTTTTTTTTTAAAATCAAGTGATAGTTAAGTAGTATTAATTACTTCACATTGTTTCATTTTTATCTTCTATGTGTAATCGGGGAGGCGGAAGGGGTAATATAGGGAGTGCAGCCTTGAAAATTAAAGTTGGCCGGGCATTGAAAAATGCTATAAATAACAAAACAGCACATGATAAAAAGTAAAAACCATCCCTGACACAGAGTTAGTGAATTGTAATGTCTAATTTTACACTTGCAGAATTTTAAATTATAAATAATCAAACTTGGTTGATAATCATACTAAATAATCTCATTGTAGATATGTGAAGTTTCCATTAGTATGAAGTCGTTTCCAAGAGGCAAAGTATTCATTTTAACACTTATGTTTTTTGGTATGTATCTCTTTTCTAAATGTTTAATTTTCAAATTTAGATATCAATTTTGTATAGTGTTGTATTTTTTTTAATGCTGTTTTGTTAATTAAGCATCAACACTAAAAAAAATAAGTCCATTAAATTGTAAACTAGACATGAACAAAAATGCCAGGGTTAAATAAGCTTTGTAAATTACTATGAGCACACTTGTTTTGAACAGAAAGGAGTCATTGTTAGAAGTTTGGAAATATTTTTTTTAAAATGAAAATAAATAAAATAAACGACAAACCTGAATGTATTGATATGAAATTAATTTTTAGTACGGCTGGAAACATACTTATTTCAGATAAACACAATGTCAAACTCCTGTTTCTAACAGATTGGTTAATTCATCAAGTTCTGTCACACGTTTTAATCCGTCCTACCAGCACTGAATCAACTCAAGCCCTTTTCATAAAAAATTACACATTTAAAATCTAAGTAGATTCACATACTGTTACTTCCATCTACCCATGTAAAGCGCAGCTCGCAGACAGACAGAAATAGAACACATCCTATTTCCACAAAGTTCCATTTCCGACTGCCAGACGGATAAAACCTACGTCACAAAACAGAATAGACAATACGTGACAAGGAGCATAAAAGTATGTCACCAAGTCAAGCGCGGGAAGAGCGTTCACTAACTTATAAAGTCTAAAACACACACCAATACTTTAAAAAAAATAATAATATTAAGTGGCAACAATTATTAATGAACTCCCATACTCGACACACAGCAAGCTTGTGTTCTAGTGTAAATTAAAATAAATGTTTGCTATATCGGTATATTTTAAATCTGGACTACACATTTTCACTAGAAGTGCGTCTTTACAAAATGTGTTTGTGTATATTTTAAAAGTATAAGCTTCTTCTTTTTTCCACAGGTCTCTCTTACGCCGATTGGGTATCTATAGGACAATCACATTCGTTTGTATGTACATCACTTGGAGTAGAAAGATACGCTTCTTTTACTTGGAGAAATAGTGTTTATAAAACTATGTTTTTGTGTGATTCGCTCGAAAAAGAATGTGTCCCAGCCTTCGATACACTTCTAGATCTTTACGATGTCAACATAACATCAGATGCTTCAAAATATACATCCGTTTTTACAATAAAATATGTTGTTCTATCACTACATAATACAACTTGGTATTGCAACGTTGATTCAGGCTCTGGGCTACGAAATACTTCACAGTATAATCTTTACGTTTATGGTAGGTTTTAATTTTTATGGTTTATATTCAATCCATGTAAAACAAGGTTTTAGTTTGTCTTTGCTCGATTAAACATCTAGCCTTATGAAAAAATTATTCATCTTTCTTCTGGTGTCTTTATATTTTTTAAAATCTTAATCTTTGCTATGACAGAATTGTCAATTGTTAGTGTCAGTCCATGTGGATGTTGATTTTTACAGCCCGCTACCAAAAAAGTATCTACTTTGCCAGCATATCTCTCAATATATAGAATAAATTTTCGCCATTAATTTTCTTTCATACTCAAGTGCTTGAAATATGCTGGCAATGCTTTAATGTTAGATTATTAAGGGGATACCAAACACTAGAAAAAGTGATTTATAACTTATTAATATAAATGAAATCAAAATTTAATTTTTAAAAAAATAATAATAATGTTGCGTAATGAATTTAAAACTTATTTTCAGCTCCACCAACGAGTCCATCTTGTTTCAATGTAACACTACATGATGATGTAAATATTACAGTACTTTGCTTCACTGAAAAGGTTTTTCCAGAAGCTCTGTGTATATTTTACATCAAAACAAATGTAAGTTTTTGTTCATTAAAGATTTTATTTGGCAAAAGATGTAAGATAATAGTTGGAAATCTCGGCTCTAAAAGTAACTTGAAATTCTGCAACTAAATTCCTTATTTATTACAATAGTATTTGTTTAATTTTAAGTGCAAATTTTCGAAAATGGGGCTATTAGATTATCTATATCATTCCATGTTGCTCTGTATATTTTTGTGTGGATGAATCATCTCATTTTATATTAGTATTAATTTGAGTCAAGTACTCTAAGATAAAGTTGTTCAGTCGAATGGGCTTTGACCACCTTATTCATCGAATGTGTGCTAATTTTGATGTTAGTTGTGGATGCACTGATTGCTGATGAGACTCATTCTTGCACGAAATGTTCTTGTTCAGTAAGTGAATGCGATTAATATGAGTGTTAACCAAGGCCTTTCTGGCATTTCGTTTTTGCTCTGCAGCCGCTGTTCTCTTAGGTTCATGTTGTATGATGACTTTTTTCCAAAGATTAACGCCACGATGCACGGTCCTTTGCCATAACTTCCTTGGTTTTACGTTATATACGGAGGCTTTCAGTGAGGATGTTAGTCTAACTTTAAAGCGATACTTCTCCCCACCATCAAACTGCTTTTTGCATGCTCGAGCTCATCATAGATTGTCATATAAAATTCATTGGACAAGCGGTGGGCTGAAATGTTCACATGTGCCACCTAGTGAGCCTTGGACTGCATTAAATGATAAAGATATTGGGGTGAAATACATTTGCGAGTATCATAGTTGGGACCCTATCCTGCCATTTGATGTAGAGGATATTTCTGAAACGTGTCGAATAAAATTGGTTCAACATTATTGTATTGCGTGGATAGACCGTCCATGTTTCACAGGCATAGAGAAATGTAATGTGCAGATCTCTTCGTTTAAGTGTTGCTTTCTCGCTTGCTCCAAACATTCTTAAACTATTTGCCTTATGTTCAAACAGCTCTTGCAATATACATCTTAACCTAGTTACCAATGCTTTGAAACAGTGTGCTGCCAAGATATGAGAAGATTTGTACCACTTAACGATTTTCTGCTTATACTTTAACGTTGGGCTCAACATAAGAACTTTGAGGAGTCAGTTTTTATAGGATAAACGTTTTTTTTTTTTCATGTGAACGAAATTTGTTTCAGGCGCTGGAGATATCAGTAACGCCGCGTTGAAAATCCACCCTGAATACGCTTTTAGGGCTGAAACATCGACAGAGAGTAGTTCCTTTATGTGAATGTCAGAATCTTGGATTTGACTTTTAACATCTTCAAGTTGAAAGGCTACTAGGGCTGAGCAGAGTAAAAAAAATGTATACCTTGACTGGACCGGGATATATTCAGACTATATTCGTAAAATACATTTCAGGACTACGCTCCATAAAATAGCTAAAGATAATGAGAAATGTGTGCGATCCATTTGGGTGCAGGGAAACATACGTGCATAGTATGATCAGCTTTCACCAATGCATTAAATTTGAAGGCTTCATAACACTAATAGCTTGATATAATTGTAAAACAACGGTTCTCAACATTGTTAGTGCCGCGATTTCTTCATAACTTTAGCCAAGTTGTGGTGACCAATACCATAGCACACATCAAACAGAACTATGATATAAAATTAGTGAAGCTTGTTGTAGAAGATTTTATATTTTTGATAACAACTTACGCACACATTTAAAATAACTCTTTGTTAAATAATGCTGGTGTTATAATCCTAACTACCTAATATTTCCGATATTTGAGTCACTAATTGCATGACTCTTGAAATAAATTATAATTCAGAAATTATATACAAGTAAATAGAAATTAGCCGCAAACAGAAAGACCAAAAACATGTGGCTGCTTAGTATAGGGGGACCAAGCGTCCTGTAAAAAAGGGATTGTCTTGTTTTTACACGATTGTACCCGTTGTCCTGAAAATGTCTTTTCGGACGCCGAAATGTCCCATTTTTTTTTTAACCAAACACATTTTCAAATTACTGAAACTTCGTAATTCATAATATAACTTAAAATAATATTTTGCCTTGCTGTCTAGCCAGTGCCAGTAGTGATGTGGGCTCGCGTGATGGCTGCACTGTTCCCCTCCACCAGTGTCCCTGCCATAGATCCTTTATGTAATTGTATACCGAAAGACAAGAGACTTGAAGCCGGGGGGGTGAGGGGATGTAAATGTGCAGAAAACAATTTTGATTCAAAGACCGCTACGTGTGATGTGTTAGTCTTATGTGTGATCCCTACCGGCCTGTTCGTGTCCGGGCGTCATGTGTTTGTTTTTGGTGTGAACTTTATTCTTTAATTTTATATTATCTTCTCATGTAGACAATAATTATGCCCAAGCGTCAATGTAAGGTTATGGCTGAGTATTCGAAAGAGTGGAACTATATTAAAAAGGGACGCTATGAAAGTGAAGCCGAGTGCACAGTTTGCAAAAAGGATTTTAATATTGGTCATGGCAGGCGTTCAGACATAAAACAACACATCACATCAGTGAAACATAGGAAAAGACTGAGTGCCCCAAGTAGATTTCTAGGTTGGATTTTTTAGTGAAAAGGGGCATTTTTCAATAAAAAGTCCCCGACCGATGCCGCAGGACCCCTCTTTAACTGGCGGGTATTTCCCCGCCCAGACAACCCCCCCCCCAAAAAAAAAAACAAAACAACAAAACAACAACAACAACGAAACAACCGTCCTTGAAAGCGTCCCGTTTTTTACAAATCTTAATTTGATCTCCTTAGGTTAGTAATCATCATTCAGTCAAAATATGAAATAAAATATTAATTGTCAATGGAATGTTACATGGTCAAAACTAAAGATAGGAATCTTGCTAAGACACATTTCTATATAATATTCGCAACAAATAAATATTATTTCAAAAGGTTTTTACTTTTATTTAGCTTAAGTTTACTTCCGCACCAAGTGTGGTCATTTTTAAATTGGACAACTGTACAATCAAGGTTCTTAAGACTAGCACCATTTTTTTTTTAAAATCTGCTTCCGTTAGTTTTGCCGGTGTTGGTTATGTTCCGGATGAGCCTCTGCTTGGCGCTTCTTTGTATTGGCGCACTTAACTGGTCCACACCCAGTTTTACCATTGACTATTGTAAATACATGGTTTTAATTTATTTATTTGTTTAAATTAATAGTTAATATAGTCAATGGTAATAGAACAATTGTAAGAAGCACTGGAGGAGTTAACATTAGGAAATCATATAAATACTGTGAATTTTCTCAGAACATCGTTTTCATCAGGAGGTAATTTGAGTATCGTTGAGACAGATTTAATTATTACATTGAAGAAATTTCACAACAGTTAGATTAAGCAACGGTAGACAACTTTTGGTAAAGTTCATACAATTAAGTTATCCTAAGTTTTGTCCGTGTCTGAGTATCACTTAACTGAAATCTTTCTGGCATAACATGGAAGCCTCTGATTTTAAAGAAAAAACCTAAACCTCTTTTATTGAATGTAGGATTTGAAAGAATGGTTTGGGATGTAGGAATAAGAACATGATTTCGTTTATGTAAGTAGCGGGGTAAACATTTTTTAGAAGAGTTTATAAAGATGAGAGTAAAATAATTAACACGTCAATTAAAATGTTTTTAAAATAGAACGTTAAGTATCAGTTTGAAAAGCAAATATTTATATATTTATGTATATATATATATATATATATATATATATATATTTATATATATGAATATTTCATTCTCTCTTTTTTCTTGCTTGCACTTTTAATTTTTAGTTACTAAAATGTTGTAGTTAGTACATTACTCATAAAACCGTTTATATGTACATTTTTCAAAGAGCATCAAAGGACACAATACCGTTTGTTTGACGCTGTTAATTACTATAGGCGATCCCAAATGATATTTATCAAACTTAACCATTGCTTTTAAACAAAAATATATAACAACAAAAGACTTGCATAATTATTGTAACTCGTATGTTAGGTTTTTTTTCAGTCATAACAAAAATAACGCTATTATGGCGTGAAGAAAATAAAAAATGTCGCCTCCCTTATAACATAATTACATAACACATTAACCCACAGAATTATCTTTTTTTTTTAAACTTCAAATAAATATTCTCTAAAGAATACAAGAGCCGTGGAAACTAAAAATGGATCGCTTACATATCAACATGGGCCATCAAGCAGTGCAGGATACAATCGAACAGAATGTACGTACACTGTGTCTGCTGACATCATAGGACCTGGATCCCATGTCTTCTATGTTGAAATGTTTGCACACATCACGTCAAATGTAGCAGAGGAAATGAAGAGGGCAAGTCAATACACAGATAGTGTCAAAATTGGTAACGTATGTGAAACGATATTTTGAAATAGGTTAAACGTAGCATAACAATTTATATGCTCACCAAAATAAACTACATTTCGACCACAATAAGCTTTCCCCCTTTTTGCTTGTGTTTTCTTTATATTGCTCTGTCCTATTCATATCGGCGTACGCAGTGCTACCGGTAAGATACGTGGAAGGCGCAATTAACCAAGTGTTGGATTTTTTTTTTCTTCTTTTTTTTTTTAAATGGAAGGTAGGCATTTTCGGGCTCCTGAAAAGTTTATTCGTTAAAGAAGGGAAGCAAAATCATTTTCCCCGGTAACACTAACACTTGGTACGCCTCTGGGTTCATGATTCATGAGCTAAAAAAATTAGAAGGCGACTCTTTTGGAACATCAGTCGAAAGATTTTATTTAAAAACTACTTTTACTAGATAGTCGAATAAAAAAATTTTATGGGAAAAAAAAAGCAACAAGCAAATGATTACAAGATGGAAACATGTCTACGTGTTATGGTGATTAAAAATGTGGATATAAATATAAGTTCCTTTAATTGGCCTCAAACAGATGGTGGTTTTCAATATATTTGTTTACCTATGATATTTTTGTCTTTAGTGCTATTTTGTTTAATTTCATCAGCCTATTCCATTTGATGGTAGGTTGTTTTGCATAGAAACTGTTGGTGAAGTTCTTGGTGTGGGGACACAGTCTTTAAATGATAGTCGGGAGATTTATTTAAATGAAACAAATACAAGAAGACTTAAATAGTTGTATTGTCTTCATATCCTTTGTCAGTGTGGAAGATCCTTATATGTAAGGTAAATTAATCATTAAGTTCAATTGTTTCTTAATACTAGTCTTTAAGTAATTTTAGAAGAGTGGCGATGCACCTGACATTGAAATATGTGGACATGTGTTGTTTTTGTTTTTTTTCAAACATAACCATAATTTTAGTTCTGCATATTAATATTATGTTATATTCAGGGTTGCCTGAAGCCGCCCTTTCCCCAGATTGTCAAGTCAACGACTACATCAAAGAAAACCAAAATCGAACGTGTACATGTTATGACAAAAGTCAGACTTTTTTACCAACACAAGTCACCTGGTCTGTTGGCGATATGCAAGATAGGCGATTGGTTTTTCTTTCACAACGTCCTTCTTCTGGTAAATATACGTGTACTTGGATCTTTCTTCAAAGTACTTCAATATATTTTTTGTAGAGTTTCTCTTTAATGAACATATCTTTACCATTACTCGGCGGGGATACATTATTTTACATTTGCCGATTCTGTGACTATCACTCTCACTATTCCCAAAATATTTCAAGCTATTTGAGTAATCTTATAGGTTTTGTTTTCGGGTATTTTTAGGTTGCCATCTTTTACTTGTCAATGGTTGTTCTAAGTTAAATCAGTCACGATGCTTTCTGTATTGCTGGAAAGATTTCTCTAAAAAAAGTTACTAGGATTAATTTGTGTGCAGAATGTGTTTAAAATGTCCCTATTTGTTAGAATAAATATGAAATAATAATTTAAAGAAAAAAATAATAAAAAAATATGTGTGTTAAATTTGCTTTAATGTTTAACATTATATTTAAACTGTAATATTCATAAATAATAAAATAATGATGATGCATTTCGTATCTCTAAAGCGACATCTTAAAAATAACCCAGCATACATTTGCTTGCTAGTGTATGTTTTATTTAGTATGGGTATGTGTATATAACTATGAATATTTATATATATATATATATATATATATATATATATATATATTTTGAAGTAAATAAAAGACATACAAACAGATAATATGTATTTGTTTTTTGTGTGCTGCAATTTTAAAAATAAAATTCTAAAGCGACATCTTAAAAATAACCCAGCATACATTTGCTTGCTAGTGTGTGTTTTATATAGTATGGGTATGTGTATATAACTATGAATATTTATATATATATATATATATATATATATATATATATATATAATTTGAAGTTAATAAAAGACATACAAACTGATAAATTGTATTTGAATTTTGTGTGCTGCAATTTTAACAATAAAAGCAAAACAGTGTCATGTCCATTTGTTTCAGACAACACCATTTACACCTGCACCATTTCAAATCAATTGAATTGGATAAAACAAATAAAGTATGAACCTAAAGTTACTTGTAAGTGAAAGTTTAATTAGTAGTTGATTTAAATCGTTCATATTTCTTATTGAAACAATAATCTGCATTAAATCACAACTAAAAAATTTGTTAGAAAGAATGGATTTTTTAAAATTTTATTTAGAGCCATTTTTATTCTGTATATAATGCATTTCATTCATTTTATAATCAAGATACAATGACATTTACTGACTAAAAATTATTATTGTACGCGTGAATTTTTGGTATAAAAAGTTGTTGATGAGAGTTTTTCTGTGAGTTGTAGTTCGTTGAGTTGTTTCGTGATGTTGACCTTTGAGATATGTGAAATTTTTATTGTGTAGAGATATAAAAGGCAGTAAAATGACGTTCTTGGAAAGAGAGAGAGCGAGAGAGAGAGAGAGAGAGAGAGACTCAGTGGTTAGTTTGCAGGATAGTGCAAGTGCTAATGTTGTCAGAATAGGAACGTTTTGTGAACTGGCAGTTACTATGGTAATAAAGAATTATGATATCTTCTTTTATTGAATGTTAGTTGTTGATCTTAAGTGTGGACTAAGAATGACTGTGTGACATTTATTTAATAGGAAATATCATACAATTATTTATTTTTGTACACTTCAAGAAAGAAGCTAGAAACATAAAAAAGTACATATGAGAATTTAAATATGATATTTAAGTAACACACATTTAAAGGCCTATTCTTTTAAATCTCCATAGTTTTGTTTAATCCAATCAAATGTCAAGTATTCCTAGAGAAAATGAATGACGAAAATGATGTTACTCTAACATAAATCCATTCTTTTCTTTTCAGACGGTCCTGACAATGTCATCCTTACCCTATTTAATACCTCGCTTGACCAGTGTGGTAATAACGGTGCGTATATTTCCGGGACTTGTACAGTTAGTGACAGCAATCCTGACCCTACAGTGTATATCTACGTCAGCAACTCTCCGGTGACATCACAGCATAAAGTAGCTAAAACTGATTACCGTTTCAGCCAAGTCATTTCTGAAAGTGGAATTGTCTATGTTTTGTGTCGTGCTGTCAATTCTGTTTTTGAGGATATTTCTTCTGAGAAAATAAGTTCTATAACAGTGAAAGGTAACGTTGGCTTTCCTCTATTCCAAAAAGAAATTATTTAATTTTAAATTTACATAATATTTCTGGCATCAATCTGTATAGACTTCGCAGGACGAAATGAAAAGGTCTTGGTTTCTTCGTTAGGAGGATAAGCTGGTTCAATGGAGAGCAGATCGCCTCTCTCTCTACTCTCCTGGAAAACCCACGGGAAATCATGTGTGTATGATGTATCTAAACACCATTTTTAGTTACCAGAATATTCATTTTATGAAGGTTATCCCCCTACGTGACTTCAAAAGTTCGTTTGAGTTCAGAGTTTGCCTTCTCTTAGATGAGTTGCCATTCAAGGTTAACAAGTCAAATCCACTCGGGTTACTGGACATGTGTTTTGCTTGTCTTGGCTTTTGTGGGGATTAACCTCAAGACCACCAAAATTTTAGACTAACAATCATAATAATGATGAAAACTTGTTTTATGGAATTTATATTTATTAATAAGTTTACATTTAGTTCCTAACTTTAATTACATTTAACCGCATAGCATTTTCCCGTTTATTAAATAATGAAAAAGCTATCCACGTCTGGGTAAATACGCTTATGTTTAGTTTCAATAATTTTTGTAGTTGAGTTCAAATAATCAAAAGAGCCCTGAAGCCTTAGTATATCAACGAAACACTTAATTTGTACCCATTTTAGGACCACCTGAAGCTCCACAAATATCATCTATGTCAGGAAAAAGCACCAAAACTCTTACTGACGGAAACCAGCTGCAGGTCACAGAAGGAAACACAGACATCGTGTGTGAATCTAGAGGAGGATTTCCCCTGTATAAAAATTTAACACTTGTCTGTGGGACCAACACACAAACTAATGAACGTAATTTGTTGAAATAATATAACAAATAACATCATATGTTATGTGGCTTAAATAATAATATATATTTTGTTATGTATTTGTAAATAATATGATAATTTAGAACTAATACCATGGCTATAAATTTACACAAAAAAAATTAAATTAAATTAAGTATATTAATTTTGCTACTCTCATTTCCAGAAAGCGATACTATAAGTATGACACTCAAAGTGTCACGTGACATGCAAGGTGTTAATTGCACGTGTGTTGTATGGCATGAATCGAAATGTTTGCACAACTTCGTCACAGTGACTCTCAAGCTTCCTCTGGGTATATCATTTACTTACTATCTAATTATGTTCACTGTCTCAATTAATTTAATTACAGATAAAGAATTTTTAACAAAATATTTAAAAGAATTAAAAAGTATAAAACTGTATTTTTAGTACCTTAATTTAAATCATTTTAATACATTTTCAATTTTAATAATTTCATTTCTTTCAACGAAATGATTATTCACTTTTATAATGAAACAGAAAAACAAACATCTCTCTTTGCATTATGCTGTTTTTTGTGTGTTATTCTTCGAGTTAATTTGAATTGTTAAGAACTATTGACCATTAGTCAGAGATAGTACTTGAGTTACTGATTTTTGAAAGCATAACATAATTCTAACAGCCACGATGAACTTCTTCAGATGAACAAAACAATGTAGGTGCCATCATCGGAGGAGTCATTGCACCAATCATTGGCGTTGTGTTGATTGTAGCATTGACAGTATTTTTGGTTAAAAGACGTTCAAGTAAGTCATTAGATGAGGTTGACATATTGAAATGCACCAAAAGAAAGCCTTATATTATTTTCTAATCAAACTAGAATTCTTTTTTTTTCCCTATTATTGAACAAAAATCTTTCCAATGAGCACTAAGCAAATGAATTTATTCACCTATGATTGTTTTTAGATTTAATAATCCCCTTTCACGCTGTTGTGTGCTGTAGGTATATTTGGCCGTTCATTGGATGTTGCTACTTTGTGTGCTCTCTTATTTCCTTATGTTCTGATGTCCTGGTATCCACTTTAAAGTTAGCTTACGTTTTTGGGAATGTGTTTATTTTTGAAGTAGGGATTTATTATTTCTTTTTAAAATGATTTTCAGTCGCCTGATGTAAAGAAGGTTTTTAAGTCAAACTTCGTCATACATTGTACTACTATTTCCTTCATTTAATGCCCTGAAATATGTATTGGCAATTGAAAATAAATTTAAGATAAAGAAATAGTTTTGGGTGTTTAAATCCTCTTTATCGATTTGAAGTTGGAGTCTTTCTTTTTGTAGAGTTGACTCATCAAGCATTGATTTTCTTTCTATTAAATGACTTGTTCTCAAATTATCAATTGGTCAGTGGCTTTATTGGTTTTATGTACCTTTTATATATCTCGATAAAGGCTCCCACTCTTCTGAGATTTAGTTACTCAGTATTAGTGTGCATTTCACTTCCTGCTATTATTTTTCTTAATTTACCACAAATAAAAATAATTTAAAATGTATATATACATATATATATATATATTAACTTCTTGACTTTAAAATTGTGTACACATTACTGTAATGTCTGCATTACTGCATGTTGACTCTAGCGCAAGCCAGTTTTCAACCACTGATCAAACAGATCGTTAGTTCTACGGACAAAGTGTTTACTTGTTAGCACACCATGAGGCATTGGCCAGGATTTAAACAATGTTTAGCCTTCTTGTTGACTTTACGTTCAAATTTTGTGATGGGTATTAAACTTGCCACCTAGATGTGTTGGGGTGGGTTCGTTTTTGAGAATTTATGTTTGTGGGGATATTTTGATATCTTATTATTGAAAAACAAATATTTTTTATTGGTATAGTTTAATTTCAGTTTGCATGTTTCACAATCTGTACTAAGCCTTATTCGGAAAATAACAGAAAATAAAATATGCATAAGAATTCAAATAAAATGATTACAAGTGAACATTTTAAAATAACAATGATAATAACCTGTAACTCGATATAATTGACTGATATAATTGTACAATAAAATGCTTCTGCTACTCAAAAAAAAAAAAAAATAGTTGTTATTTTAAATTATTAAACAAATAGTGTTTTTAATAAATTACATGTGTATTCTATCTATATTTGAAAAATTGTCAAAGATATCGCCATAAATTCTTCTATCGTTTATAATCAAAGACATTTTTTTTTCAGATAAACTCAAACGACAGTTACAAGAAGCCAATGCAAAGTAAGTTGATTTTGTACTAACATCGTATTAGAAAAAAAAACGTACAATGACACTTTTATATTAAACTTAAACGAAAACTTAGGAATATATATAATTAATTGCAAAAGCAAGAATTGTTTTTAATTAATATATATATACGTTTATATATATTGAAATTAATTTGAAAATTAAAACAATAAATTATATTTCATAATATGATAAATATATGTACATTTGTTTGACAGTTAATCAATACTTAAGAAAAATACGTTAATTTTGTAAACAAGAAAACTTTTTGATCTAAATTTTAATGTTGTAATTCCAGCAAAATGCAAACGTACTCCAACGTTCAAGGTAAGATAGGAAGATTCATTTTTTTTTTCGTTTTTACTTACAATGATCAAATTGTAAATCAGCATCAATAGAGATTTGGTCCATGCGACTAAATTTCATTGCTAGAATTGTTAAAATTGTCTTTAATTTTAGTATTTAAATGAAATAATTTCTAAAACTTACTTAATTCACTTTATTATTAAATTCCTAATCGTCCTTGTTTTTGGGATGTCTATAAAATCAAATAAAAAATACTGCGTTTTTTTCAAGTGTCAGATTGGAAAGGAAATGCTCTATAATATTTCAAAAGAGCACAAATTGGGTTTATATGCGATTAAAGGAAATTATTTTATATTAAATGACAAGCAGCAAACACATATTTATTAGAATCCTGAAAACATGATGTGCAGGCTCTTTCACGTGTGTAAATTAAAAACATTGTTTATACTGTCAGAATAATTTAAGTAATACATTAAATTTCACCATAGTTGTTCATATAAAGGTTCCTTGGCTTTTATCTGCTTGCTTTTATAATACTCAAGCTCTTATTCTTTTTTTTAAACTTTTTATTTCAAGCGAGTGAAGACTATATGAACTCTGACACTCATCAGTATGAAAGACCTAGCATTACGCATGACGACACTACTCACGCTGATGTGCATACACCACGTACTATCAGGCAACCCAAGTTACCGGAAAATTATTCAGACACCAATGTTCTTGGAGGATTTATTGAACAGACAAATAGACAGCAACAACCTAAAGAAAACAAGAAAATCAAAGCTGACGCGTGCAAGGGTTAGTTTCTTTTTTAGTAGTAAATTTTTTAAATTTATTTAAAACACACTTTACTGTAAATAATATGAACTTATATTTCTACAAACTGCATGATAAATTAGTGATTAGTTGCACTTAAAACTGAAAAAATTACGAACTCATAAACAAAAAGTGGTACATTTAAACTGTTTGATTCTATAACTACCATGAATACATTACTGACAGTAACAATGGTTTTTGTAAAATAAAACAGCCTGAGACGGAATGGGTATGTGAAACTATAGTTTGGTGTTTTCAACTAGGTTTCTTTACTTTATATATATTTTCATAGTGAGCAGTAGTCTTATGTGTTGTTTATATTCTTTTTACTATTTAAACTTATAGATCGAATACCGATGTTATGTGAGGCTAATAATCAATTGATAAATTATTATATATTTTAAACGAAATGTCTTTTCTACACCATGTAACAGCACATTAAATACTTAATTGTTTCTAACTAAAATGCATTCTCATGTGCGAACATAGCAAATCACTCTCTAAAAACTCTGGTCAGTATATCACAGTCTAAGTTCACCTGCAGGGCGTGGCCATATAAAAACTGTGTAACTTGGATTTCCAGGTCGATCTCACACCCGGAATATAGTACAGGACGTTTAGCTATTGATTTCTCAACTGTCTCTCGTGCCTGGTAGCAATGTCCACATATTGGGTCACTCTGATAATTTAGTCTAATAAAGTAGCCATGGGTCGCATAATCCACAGTCTTCATTTGAGCCACTATTAACTTAATACGACACCAATGTATTTCACCAAAGATAACTTTTGCTCGAACGCGGGCTACGCTAACAGATTTATTAAGTGCTTTTTTTTTACCAAAACAATAATATTACGGTTAGTTGATTCTTCTTTATTTGTTTTTTTTTAAAAATTATTTTAGAGATGCGTGGCATTAAACGAAGGGCGATCTTTGAGAAAGTCATAATGACATGAATAAATATGTCAAGATAGTTTATAAGCACTTTCAATTAAATGTAGTAAAACGTGATAATATAAGCATCCAAAATCTCGCATTCTGATATAGAAATTATGCTTATCATTTATTTGTGCGTCTCTTCTTGATATTCGACAGAAGGAGAAACCGATGTTAAACCAGAGGAGCATCACTATGAGGAAATCAATGACGTCAATACATTAACATATGACACGTCAACATGCAAAGAAATCGCCAAACCTGAACTAAGTGCATCTTACGTGAACCTTGAGATTGTGCAACAGGCTTCTGTATTATAAATGTTACGAATTTTACTCATTATATAAATGTGTATATTCATAGTGTGATATGCTTGTCTGAAAATGAATTAGGATCTAGTAAAAGAATATACTGGTGCATGTAAATTTTCATATGTAGCTATTTTATATCATGGATTTTTCTGTATATATATTTATTAAGCTTTAAATACTAACCAAAATGAAATGGTTTTCAATTTAAAAGCGGTTATTGACAAAGGAGTAATTACCACAGCTATTCAGTATTTGAATTTTTATATTTATATTTATCTTACATTTTTAAAACACCATTTATTTCATTAAAAATTAATTTTAAGAACCACTTATCATATTTTTTTAAATACAAAAGTGTATACAACTTTTACAACTTTTATGTTAAAGTAACTTGGTTAAAACATTGTATTATACAATAACTGCTTTAAAAAATAATTTCTTTTCTTTTTTTTTTTTTAAATAAAAATTGACTGCATTATTCGTTGCTTTTTAAATTGTAAGAGATCAAAACGTGACAAATCAGTTCAAATTTAGTATGATGCAAAATACATGTTTCCAAAAAATGTTTTAAATGGCATCAAGAAGAGAATATATAATTTCTGATTTTTACAATGACAATCGAAATAATTAAGAGATACAGGAAACAGATGACGAAAAGTGTAAGGTCTTATAAAATGAACTAAATTGGGTGAATATAATGCTTTCATTCTTGTAATAGTTTGTAACAAATTGAACTGGACGTTAATTAGAATACGTGGACTATTTCATTATCAAATAGCTTTGCAAAAATAATAAATATCTTCCTGCATCAAATTACATTGTTTATGTTAAAGAGCTTTCTCTTATGTTAAAGTGCTTTCTCTTTGTCTCACAAACATCCTACTGAAATTTACCACAGTGTCCAACACACAATACTCTATTGCAAGATACTTAACATATTGTGTTGATGTTATTGTATTTCATGTGTTCCATTCATGTCAGCATACATAGATTTTTGTGTTCGAATTTTTTTCCCTCGTTAGGAAAGGGGGGGGGGTGGTGGTGGGGTGGTTGGGGGGGGGAGGGGTAACTGTTTTCATTATTTAGGTTTTGAAAGTTTTCCATTCATGTCAGCATACATAGATTTTTGTGTTCGAATTTTTTTCCCTCGTTAGGAAAGGGGGGGGGGTGGTGGTGGGGTGGTTGGGGGGGGGAGGGGTAACTGTTTTCACTATTTAGGTATAGCAAGTGTTGTCTTGGTTTAAGTAATTTTAGTATTTGTATTTGGTTCCTCGTATGCGTTAAAGATACGATTTAAAAAAAACATTTACCTCAGTATAACTGAAGTGTAAAAAAATGCTTTAACTTGAGATATTTATTACCTATCGGTCGTGTATGGAGATCAGCAGTAGAAACTTAAGATGTGTAGTTCTTTTTACTTTGACCTATTTACCATTAACTGTATGAGATTTCTTTCTTTACATATTATATTTAACTTAATGTGTCTAAACTCCAGAAGTAAATAAATTATACATATTTTTAGACGTTAATAAATTATAATAATAAATTTGCGTTCGTATTTAAGCAACGGGCTGAATATATATATTGTTGATTGGTATGCGAGTGCAACACATGTTTTAAGCAAGTATTCTCGTAATTCGTAAGAAGCCATTATATAATGAAGTTGTTTACCGATAGAATATTCTCTTAACAAAAATAGCAGGAGAGTTTAAACAGTTCGTGTTTTACAGTCAGTTGTTTGTTGTTTTCTTTTATTAGCTACGCTATTATATGGTGTGCTCTTTATAGACCCGCTTAAAATAGAGATAACTGTTATATCTGCTCAGCTGTGCCGTGAAACTTATATGCACCGTAGAGTTGCTTGTCACCATTGCGTTTGCAATGTCAAAGTTGTTGTAGAAAATCAATAGGTGTTCAATGTAATCGCTATTAACCCTGGTTAGAGTTTTTTTAAATAATATTTATTACGTTATGCTGTATCTTTGAGAGCACAGGTTCTATTGCTCATTTAGCTTCGTGTTTTTATTTGGTTTTATAAATAGAAAGAGATAGCAAACACTGAAGCGCGATGCTTAAATAGGCTCAGTAATGCAACAGCTACAGGTTAAAAGTTTTAAAAAAAATCAAAACTGACAATTTATCAAATCGCGATGATGACCAGTTACATTTAATATGTCTGGGTACGTGTCTAAATATGCCTTCCGAGAAATGCATGCAAAAATTCAAGTTGCCGAAAGCTCTGAGCAACATATAATGTATGCGTTTTATATAGAGTGTCTCTGTTTATAAGCAATGGTTTCTCAATACCATACTTTTTCTTTATCTCTGGAAATGCCTAATTAGGTTTCATAATTGTAGTTAATTCTAAAAGCAATTTTAAAGTTTGTGTAGACACTGGTAACTTGGTAATAGTTTCTCATTGTTTCCAACGCTTAGCCAAGGTAAAAGGAACTGCTTACTATTGTAAAAACTTCAGCCTTGGTTGTTCACGGTTGGGGGACTCACAGTACCATGGATGACCAATTAGAGTGTTCAGCCTGGCTGATTCATGGGTGGGGGACCCCACAGTATGATGGTTGACTGTCTCTCACACGTATCAAGTTAGCCATTCAACGCTGCAAAGACGGATTTTACAGTGGGTAACAAATGAGTAGGACTGTACGAAGGAGCGATTGGTGTAGGCAGTGGAAAACGTTACAATAGAGGAGGGACGAGTCAACTTTGGTATTTAAAGATAATTTATGTGAGGACAGGGAAGACTTAGCCTGGGAACCAAGCCGGGCGTGGGTACATCACTAAGTACGGGCATCACTAATGAGTTGTGTAGTTAGCGGTTAAATAAGGAATGTCCATGCAGACCCTGGGGAGGGCTAGTTAATTAAGTGTTGTGATAGGGAAAAGCAAACTTGATCTGTATTAATAAGTGGGAAGAGACATTGAATAGGCGCCAATGATAAAGGATCTGGTCTGGGAGAATGTAGTATCTATTAACGTAGCAAGCCAATAACCGTGGGATTTTAGTGGTAGTTTCTCATATGATGAGGTCTAGATATAAGCTAGAGGTTTAGGGACATTAGGGGTGGGTTATAGTTGAGATATAGCAGTTGAGGGAAAACGGTCGTGAGACTCCACCGAAAAGGAGGTAGATGACAGACGTCAGAAGACAGTAACGAGAGAGAGAGAGACAAACACGACATTCAAAGTATAGTCAAAGTCTTGATTGTGAACAGTCAGCAGTTCATTACAGTGAATTCTAACCATCAACATGTTATTACCTGTGTGTTGCAGAACGAGAGACAGAGTGAACATGGTTACCATCCGTGTAAAGTAGTTAGAGAAGATAGAAGACCAAGGCTCTCTGCAATATTATGCCGGTTAAAGAAAAGCCGGTAAATTACCGACTTAAACCAACACCGACATCTTATTTATGTTTTTTACCTTCACGAAAGGTCGCCAACTTTCTATATTTAAATTTCGGCTAGTTACGAGCTATGAATTCATTATACGGAATATCAACAGCCTCGTTTAATAATTTACTTAAACACCGGTTCACAAACAAACTGACAGGACCAAAGAGTATGATGCTTTTTGTTGTTGGCTCCAGGAATTGTTTATTTTGTAGTAAATCGTCTTTTTAATCATCTCTTGTCTTAAAGTTTGAGTTTCAGTTTAATTATGTCATTAATCTTGTAATAAATTAAAATTAAATTCAATCATATTGAACTGATCATTCTATGTTCTTTGTGTTTTGATTTAGACTTTTAAAAAATAATTAGATATTTCTATGGAACTTGGAATCATGAGAAGAAAAATGATTGACAGCCAGTATACATTGGCGCCCGCAGAAAACTTTCTAGGGGGGGGGGGCAAAAAAAATCGATTAACTTTCCAGGGGGGGGGGGGCAAAAACATTTTAATAATGTTTTATTTTAGTATTTATTGGCAAAAACATTTTAGTAATGTTTTAATTTAGTATTAATTTACTGTAGCGTATTTGTATGGTGAATGAACGGACAGGACATCAGTTTAGTTACTTTCTCTTTTTTTTCTCTTTACTTTAATACATTTTTTGTCAATTTTTGTATACATTTTTTTTATCCAATCAATCCAGGGGGGGGCACGTTCCCCCACCTTGCCCCTACCTGCGGGCGCCCATGCCTGTATACTATGGCTATTCAGTTTTATAAGTCGGTGCATTTAACACAATTTTACTGGCCATCGCATGTAGTGGAAATGTGTGACATGAAAGAAACCCACACATTATTAATCTAAATGTTAGTTCTAGACATATTTTGGAAATGCAGATTATCAAATATGGGAATCTAATAGTTATTGTTGTGAACCAAATACTGTGTTTATTATTTTTCGTCGTGTACCTTTTGTAGCAGTATAGTTAATGAACGTGTTTCCCGCCTATAGGACTTGTGTATTGGTCACGTATTTTACGATACTAGTGATATCATGGCTATATAGTCTGTCCTGGGTGTACAAGAATTACCCTTGAGCAGTATATGAACTAACTTTTGCAGAGATGTTGTACAATTTTCTTCTACTGATATCCAGCTGCGTTATACATGTGTTTCAATCAATAAACAGCTTTATAAATTAAAAATGATTCTGTAGTAAAGTATTGCAAATGGAAAAGGTACAATTTTTCAATTTGGTGTGATTACGACGCATAAACGAGAAAAAAATAAATTGATAAAATAATTGATTACATACATATCGTGACAGAGAAGATCACGGACACACTTTTTTTAACCTATGAATGAATCGTGATCACTAGTGGAAAAAAAACCACATATTTAACACACGCTTTTTAAACGTGAAATGGCGTCATTGAATCGAATTTTTATTATAGAGATGAAAGAGAAGTTCTTTGGTGCAGAAATAATTTAATAGACATGGCTATTAAAAAAATAAAAGGCAATATTTATTAGATCCTGGTTCTAAAATGTGCATTCATTTAAATGACAAGTATTTCACGGTTAGCAGAAAATAAGTACGATTTCCGCTCGGCACCGTCGCACATGGTCGGGTCTCCAAAAAGAAGATTGTTACGAGTATCGATCCGTCCTCTGACGTTAGGTATTTCATTTAGAAATCAATATCATTATAATTGTAGAGAAGAACTCTCAGTTAAAAGAAAATTGTTTGGCTTGCATATTGCTCGACACATACGACGAGCAGACACAAATCCTAAAGCCCAAGAAACGACATACAGTGACCTTATAAAACATAAAACAATGTTGGTGGATTCACTTGCCGGAAGTATGAGCAGATCACTGGGTTCATCAAGATATAATCTAACACTGTTTTTAGTATTTCGACATATTGACACACGTGACACAGTTGTGTGTATATAATTACTTACATTCATTATGAAGAGTATCATTACACGATGTATTATACAAGGACTGAAATGATCAATATAATTTATTATTAAAGTGTTCAATAATTTGAAGTGATTCAATTAGGCAATTTTTGAGTCCCATAAGAACGGTGGAAACAACAATTCTGTAAATTGTTTCAAAATTTTCTAAGAAATATATGAATATGTATAATATTTGTTTAGGGATGGAATTAAAGAGGGGGGGTTCTTTGATAGCTTCGCACAACTATTTCTTCCAAAGACTTGAACACCGAAATTAATTTTTCTAAAAACTCCTGTTTGACAACTCTATAAATGTTGGTATTGCTATTTTATAATTACCCTAAATGTCATACTATTTATTTAAACCATGTTGAACTATTCAAGTTTCCAGATGTTCTATAAGTAGGAGTTAACAGTTTAGAGATG